ATTCATAACTAAATCTAGAAAAATCAAAACGATGTGGTTCCAATTTTCATACGAAGCTTGCTAAGAGTTCTATGGAGGACAAATATTCATTAGGTCCAATTCCATCCAGAATAATTCCAGGAAATTCGTCAAAGTGTACTGTTCATTTGACAAATTTTCAAATTTCTATTTGTTACCTTATTCCACTTTCCTACAGCAAGCCGCAAAGTGGAACATAGAAAAGTTGGTTAAAGTCCTCAAGCCTAGTCTTCGAGAACGCATAGCCCTTATGCAACTGATGAATTTCAATACAGTAGTAGAAGTGTGCAAAGTGTTGGAAAGGGATCAGGACCAGTATGTCAGGATGGAAGACACCTTTGGAAATAAGAAATTTGAACCAGGAAGTACAGCTAAAAGGAAGAGACCTGGAAGGAGCAGGCGGACCAGAAGAAGCTGTAAACAGATGAGGTTCCATTTACTAAGAGGAATAAAAGGGTATAACCTATGTGGAAAACAGCATAGGAGCAGGCCTTATTTAGCAGGATCGAATATCTACTACAGGTGTGGCAAAACAGGACACTATATGAGGGACTACCATCAGGCGAGAGATGCCCTGACACTTCATCAAGAAGAAAGAACCCCTATCCGTACACAAACTGAAATTCCAGAGTCGCCCCATCTAATTCAAGGTACGAATCGAGTAATGGTTACTCTTTGGATACAATCAAGGGAAGAGACTAAACTGAGAGGATGGTACCTCTCGAGATGTGAGAACAGGGTTTCATGTTAAGCTAAGAGGACGATGCCTCTTAAGACATAAGCATGGGATGACACATTCAGCTGTGAGGGTGATTCCTTGTAAGGCTAGATACGTTAAAGCCATGAGGGTGATTCCTCGTAAGTCTTGGTAATGAAAGGACCAGGGATGAGTTTAAGACATAAAAACCCACTCCAGTGATTAACTAGTACCGAAAGGGTACCCTTGACTTTTTCACAGACACGATTATTGTTAATTGAGCCTCGAACTATAAGTCCTGAACGGTGTATTCAAGCAAGTTATATGTGAAATGAGAATGTAAAAGAAAGGAGATAGGCCCTTAAGGTAAAGATGAGAATGACAAAATATGTTGAAAAAACCTGATAAAGGCAGTGTTAAAGGAACTTGAAATGCTATGGTATAGTAAAATACCATGAAGACAAGTACATTGTCATGGTATTATTATGAAAGAATGGACCCAGAGTATAGGAAGAATACAAGCAGTGATGACAAAATACGTAAAAGCAAAGGCCATGCTTGTATAAAAGCCAGAAAAGTAAGAAAGGGAAAGTTATGTTAGCATGAATTCCAGGATTGAAACCTGGCAATGAGGTATAATGAAAAGTTAAAGAGGCCAAAGTTGAGTATAAGTGGGGATATTCTCTTCAGTTGACCTCTCATTAAGGGTAAGGATAGAGGTTTGACCCGGAAATTTCGAGGATGAAATTTCTTTTTAGAGGGGGAGAATTGTCGCATCCTGGATTTTGGGCCTAGAAGTACTGAAATTAGGCTGAATTGGGAGGCTACTAGACCCCTTTTTGGCAGAGGCCCCAGAGACTCCCTAGAAGGATAGAGAGATTCCCACGGACTAAATAGCAAAGAGAAAGCTTTCTAGGACTAAGAAAATAGAAAGTTAGAGACTTAGAAGAAGTCTCGAAACCCAAGAATAAGAAATAGAGATAAATGTAGGCCAATAGTTATGTTGGAGGCCTCAATGAGGTGAATTTTGAGGTTAAGCCAACCAGGGGCAAAACTGTAATTTCATAAAGTTTTGGGCTAGTAAGGGCAAAAATAGAAATTATGCCCGAAAATTTCAGAAAAATCCCAGAAAATGGGAAATGATAGGTTAAGGCCCGAACACTTCATAAAAATTCCAAAAAAATGGGAATAAGGTTCAGTAGCCTATATGAGGCTAAAAATGACGAAAATGCCCCTAGAAGGAAATTGTGGAATTCCTAGGGTTTTGATTGATTTGGAATATTATTAAAAATAAATTATTTAAAGTATAGGGAGGCCTCAAATAATTGAAAGAAAATGAGGAAAATACTTGAAGAATTATCACAGGTTTTAAAAATAATTCCGTCACTAGAAAGCGAAAAGGTTGGCTTTAATGGAATCTAAAGCCTATTTACATACTATCCGGAGAAAGTCAAAGTCAAATGTCTAGAGGTTGACTTTCAACTTAAGAAAAATTAGGGAAATTCCCTATGATGAATAAATAGTATTGGTACCTGGAGATAGATTCTCAGAGTTATGGACCGGTAGAAAGAATTCGGTCAAGATCACTTTGAAATGAATATTATTAATTATTTTAATTATTTTAATGGAAAAACAAGGAAAGAGCATCACTCTATCTTTGGGCATGTTATATAATGCCATGTGAATTTATTTGAGGAGAGAAAATGGTACCAGAACATGTCCTAGTGGTCGCGGGTAAGTCAGGGCCCGAAAAAATACTTTATACGGTGCAGAATGACAAGATAGGGGGAGGAATACCTAAGGGTGGTATTTTGCACGAATTTTATATTAATTTCCTCCCTATTTTAATGCCTTAATGATGAAAGAATATGGAGGAGACAAGTGTACAGTTAGATGAGAAAAGGATGTATTACGTGTATGGCTGGATGCAAGACACGTGTACTGTCGGATTAGAAGCATGTGGATGATGATGAAGCATGATAAGCATGATGTCATCATGATGAGGTAAGCATGATGTCATCATGATGAGGTAAGCATGATGTCATGGGACACTTGTCACCATAAGATTAAAAGAGAAAATGGACGGTCCAGATCAAGCCATGTATTTTTAAGATCAACGGACAGATTTGGTCTTATTTTCTATAAATACCCCTCCCCTCCCTCTCATTTCGTCCTAAGTCATGGAAACCTTGGGGAAGCTTTGGCAAAAGATTTCTAGAGAAAGAAAGAAAAGGGAGAAAGAAAGGTCAAGTGGTCTCATGCAAGATCAAGCTCTAAAATAAGATATGTTCATGGTTTTTGATGTAGTTTTCACTACTCTTGTTGTTGAGCTTGGTTATAGATTTTAATGATTTTTGGGAGCTTGAAACCCTTAAGGAAGGTGCTGCACGAAATTGTTAAGTGTAAGGGAAGATGAAATTAATGTTAGAATAATGTTTAAAGACTTGAAAGAAACACGAATCAAGTGGATTTATGCTAAAATTGGTTGAATTTCATTATTGTGTAACTTGAGGAAATATTTCGGCTAGACCTGGTTCTTGTACCTAGGATGTGATTTTGATGATTTTGATGCTTCCAGTGTGTTTAAAATGAAAAATTGTGTAAGGATAAGATGAAAGAATGAAGCTGGAAGCATTGAAATCAAAACTGAAAATTAAGTGGCAGATTTCGGTTTGGCCTAGAACCAGGGGAAGGAATTGGATTTTGATGAATCTAAGCTAATATTTAGATTCCTTGGACAAAATTGTGTATGTTTGGCCTAAGGGGACAATTTTTACAAAGCTAGAATACTGCATTATAAATTAAGAAAAAAGATATTAAGTTTAAGGACATAAGTCTTCCATATTGTGTAATTCTTAGTCCTAATGAATAATGTGACTCTTGTGGTTGTGATTAGGACCTTGAGGCATCCAAGAGAAAGTTTAGATGTGGTTGAGCAAGCAACTTTAATGGTTGAAAACAAAAGGAAGTAAAAAGAAAGCTTAAGGACAAAAGGTAGCAAATTTGACCTTACTCTTTTGTGCTTGGCATTTGCTTGCGTATATGACATATTTTTATGTTATATGATTTTATGAACTCGTGTTGTGATTGTAAATGTGTTTGAAATATGCCATAAGCCTATGTGTTTTATAATAAATGCATGATGGTTTCTAAACATGTCATTATGTTATAAAAATATTAAATTGCAAACATGTTATAAATGTTAAGCTTGCAGTGTATGTTTGAGTGGTTATTATTTGCTACTGAAATTCTCCCGAATCTCTCCCCTCCCTAACCCACCATTTAGGTCAAGTATAATGGACAATGATTGCATGAAGAAGAGCATGAGAAGGAAGAAGAAAGTGAAAAATTATTCATGTTAATGATTGAAGCTATTGGTTAATGTATAATTCTCCTATTGTATAAATTATGTATATGAATACTAATGATGTAATATATTTGTTTAGAATGTTTATGGCATGAATAGAAAGGTATATAAATGAATGTCCATAAGGCTAGTTGTTGCATGTTCAAATGAGGGGAGAATTAAAGTAAGAATTGTTTAATGAATGAAACATAGGTACTGGAGCAGTCAACGTCCAGCTCCAGTTTGACCTATCAAATGAAAGAGTCATGCCATAAAGTTTGGCAGACACGTTGTACACATCTCAAGCTTTAAAATAATAGGTAGAACACATTAATTGGATGTGTACACAAGGAGATACAAATTTCCAAAATTGAGACACGGAATCTGAAAGTTCCTGATTTTACCAAATGAATAGTAACCCAAGTAATTATGTTGAAATTTTAAATCCACGAGCTTGTGTCGAGATCTGCTTGAACCATAACGCTTACGAGTACATACTTTGAGGGGTTAAAGGAAGGATGTTTCACTCTCTAGCGTTCACATCAATGGAAATATAAATAACAAACACCATTTAGGAATTTTAAACATAGAATTGGACACCCAAAAAAGGGAAAAAAAAATTGTCATCTTGCCCCCAAGCACTTTATCACCAGCAACAATTAAATTTCAACAAAAAATAATCATTCTAAAAATATTACCTCCAATCCTTAATATAAAAGCTGGTTAACTAATTTGAGTAGATTAAAAAAATTTGTTAACCTAGTTATATGAAAAACATAGGCATTGTGCTCCTTAAAATACTCCTGCTAACCATATGTATTAATTAAAATTACCATTTGATGAAACTTTTAATATATACAACTACTGTAAGGACTACTTTGAAAAAAATAAATAAATATGAGAGACAAAGTAAATTGATATCTTATATTTAGAATCAAATAGAATGTCAAATTAACTCTTATATTAAAGACTAGTAGTTAGTTTTATTATTCAACTTTTGCCACACAAAAAACAAAGGAGAAAAAAATTTATTCAACTTTCCGATGGAATTTCAAGAGAAATGCAGTGCAAGTAATCATCCCTACATCCCACAAAAATCCTGCCGCCAATCATTACAGGGGAAGAGAATATATCTCCCTCCAAGTTTAGCCGAGCACATTCCTCCGCACTAGTTCTAGGTTGATCAGTATCTTCATCTTCTTCCAAGTTCACTCTAAGAATGTGCACACCTCCAGAACTGGAACAAATGCAAATTAACCTGAAAAAGAACAACTATTCAACACAAGGTGTGTATGCTGACACAAATATCAGACACGACATTGATATTTGGCCGAGCACATTCCTCCAATATATGGATATTAAAATCCAACAACATAAGTAGTGATTTTGGGCGGTTTGATGCCATGCATTTTAGACAATATTGCTTCAATTTCTAAATAGAGAAAATTAAGACTTAGATTACTTAAGATTATAAGTTTAATATACTTTCCAATCAAATTTTAAAAAGTGGATTTCAATCTTTAAAAACGTTATTAATGAGCTTGTTAAAAGTGTAAATCATGAATTGGTATTAAAAAAAACAAAAAAACACGTTTATTAAATTTTTCCTTTCTAATATCAGTGCTTCATAGTTAACAAATTTTCTTTTCTTCTCAAGTTAATAAAATCAACGGATACAATTTACCTGTCTGAATAAGGGGAGGAATCAGACTGGAGCAGCAAGTGTTCATCAACATAGGCAGATGCAGTAATTGGATCTCCAATATTGTATTGCCATTGTAGATCGCCCTTATACTGGATTAATTCAACAAGTGCAATTAACAATAATCAAAGTCGTCATTTTATTGTGTACTTTCCTAGGGGATACAAAGAGAGGCAAAACCCTTCAGGTTAGGAAATTAATAGCTGATCTTTCTCTCCCTTTTTTTTTTTTTTTTTGGCAATGACACTTCACTAAGCTTTGCCTTGGTTATAAGATAATAAAGCATAACAAAGTCAAACAATTATCTGCTACTATTACCACTTCAAATGAGTACACACTCCCATCTCTGGAGCATACAAGCACCTGTAGCAGAATGAACAAAATAAAACAACTGATTTCGTCATTGTGAAGTAGACAACTATTCCTTTTGCAAGTGAAGGCATCTAAATACAGAATAATTTCCACAGGAAAAACAACAATTAACCATGGTCTCAAGAAAGTTATGAAATAAATAAAAATATATTGGCATTGCATTGCCAACAGTCTAGGCTTCATATTTAGTGATGAGATAAAAATTTCGTATCTTTCTGTCTATCGTGCTAATAAAGCATCCATACTTCAAAATATAAAAAAAAAAGAAAAGAAAACCGGCATCAGATAAAGAATATGATGCACACCATTTTGTACTTGTAAGAGACTTATTATCACTGATCCATCACATCAGATTATAACAATAACATTTTACAGAACCTTAGGAAAGGACACTACGGTGAAGGAGGAAGGGAGCAGATAAATGGTGTAGCCAAAAAACAGAAAATAGCGGTGAAAGGGAAGAAGAAATTCATTTCTTTGAAACAACTTAAAAATTACGTTGCTAAACTCCAAGAATAAAATAACATACCTCAGTTGGAAGAGCCAAGGATACACATGCTCCAGCAAATATCGGACCATTAGTTGTTTTCTGGTCAAGATTCAGCCCAGTACATGTAGCTTCAAATTATGTCCATCAGGTAGGATAAATAAGGATTACAAAAGTAATGAGATTCATACCTTCCAGAGTATGGACCCATCTGGATCCAATGCCAGAACATGGCCATCTACCAAACAACATATAACTGCAATGGAGTAGTAGAAAATCATATTGGCACAAGGAGAAAGTATTTTTACGATGCTTAATGCTTAAACTGACAGCATCAACAAAAGAAGGAACACTATTATACTTATTCCATTGTGAGCAACAGCCAGAGAACCAAAAACCGGGACCCCCAGCTCATGAAGCCACAAAGTATTAAATGAAAAGTCCTGTAAATTTATATATGAACTTTTCAGTTGGACTGTGTCTCAATAGCACAATTCAGTGCAGAACTTCCAACCTAAATGATCTAATCTTTTTATTGCTAAAAAAATGATAGTGTTTTAAGTATTTCTCAATCCATCATACCGCAACTGATATCGCTGTCACACGGCCACCAGTTGAAGCAACATAAAGTGCACCACGAAGCTACAGGAAAAAGAAAGTTTTGCTTCACTAATATCATCGTGTGTGGTCTAAAATAGAGATCATAGCAAGTTGGTAAATATCAGACGCAGTGACCAGTGCTAAACCTGAAGAAATGCTTTGCAACAAAAGTCAGCATACAAGATTTTGGAGGCAGGTAAGTGCAGAAAAAGAAAGGAGGGAAGAGGGAAACTCAATAAAATTCCAAGTCTTAAATCACAGGTCTTTCAATAAGTCCACACTATGATAAACCTAATAATCATGTTTCATTAAAATACCCGATATCCCTTATTAATGAAATATTGTTGATATCATAAATCACCAATTTACTAGCTAAATAATAACCATCCATAGAACCTGGGATATCTCAGTCCTCATCAAATGGTCAAATAATAATCATAAGAACTTTTAAACAAGACTGCATAGAGGCAGCTAACAGTGCTATCCACCATTAGATGATAAGGAAACTGAAACAAAGTTCACTGCAGAAACTGATGATGCAATAGCAATTCCAAGGGCAAGTTAGCACTTTATCAATTGCAGGCGACCCATATATACTGCCTCCACAGGGTAGCTTATACACACAGGAATGCTTTTGGTAATCAAGAGCATACAAGTTATGGTCATGCGTGCCACACCTGCAAATCCCATATGAAATGTCAACCCAAGAATTAAAATGATCAATAGATTTATCTTAAGTTTCAGGCCACACAGAAAAAGAAGGGAAAGAACGATCCTCTGAGAAGGAAAAAGGGGGGGGGGCAGAGATAAGAAAAACCCAGATATTAAAGTTAGAAAATGTCACCAACTGCAGGCAAATGTGGCCCACTATGAAAGCAATGATTTAAGAGATTACAAAATGAAAAGAAAAATGAGATCATGAAAATAAGAATGAACTTGATATGGAAAGCAAAGAAATGAGAGAGAGAAAGGGAAAAGAGAATTAGAGAAGCAATGATTTAAGAGACTCCAAAATGAAAAGAAAATAAGATTATGAAAGTGAGAATGAACTTGACATAGAAAGTAAAGAAATAGGAGAAAGGGAAAAGAAAATTACAGAAGAATAGAAAACCAAGCGAAATCGAATAACTTCTAATCCAATTGCAATCTGAGTGCTGAACATGGGCCGTAATTTACTTATGTTAGGCGGAAGCCCAAAGATGAATGAATAGAGCATGGGACATCTGAACATGTGGGAAGGGGTGTTTTAGGGAGTTACCTAGTGACTGTTAGAGAAAGGCTGTGTAGTATATAAGGCACGAGATAGCCTTTGGGGAAGGCAGGCAATTACTAAGTGATTGTGAGGAGAGACTACCTCCCGAAAGTATAGAGTGGCCTGTGTTTTCTTGTTCCTTTGTAGTACACTTCTCTTTCAGGTCATACCACGAGGAGTAGTTGCTTTATTGAATAATACCAGTCACGAATCATTTTCCATCAAAATATATTAGAGTCACTCTCTCCCAGGAATGGTCAATATGCAAATGGAGAGCAGATTGGATGCACTCAACTCTTGGATGTTGCAGTTAGGATGTTGTAGTTAGACCAAAACATCAAACATCTAAGTAGTGATGTGGCACAATTTAGTAGTGATGTTGCCACTGTCAAATATGATATTGTGAAGATGAAGTCTCTTATGTGGCACAATATCATGTTTGACAGTGGCAACATCACTACTAAATTGTGCCACATCACTACTTATGATTGAATTGGTTTCAAAGTCCCATGTGAGCCAACGTTCAACGGGTAAACGAAAGCAGACTGATGACTCTAATGCTTCAAAGGGCAATAACACTATACCGCGAGCAATTGAAATTGGTTTTGGTAGCAGAGGGAGTGACTTCAAGACTTCCAACTATTGCAAGTTCAATATTCCCTTGTTTTCTAATGATGAAACTCTCAACTAGATTTTTAAAATTGAGCATTACTTTAGAGTTAACAGGGTCCTTGACCTTGACAAACTCGATGCTGCTGTCTTTTGTTATGAAGCTCGTGCGCTCAACTGGTTCCAATGGAAGGAGGAGGAAAGATGTTTGGTGATTGACTAGAAAGAGACCAAGATCTAATTCTACATTTTCATCTATCACAGTGCGGTAACACTTATGATATGTTAATAGAATTTCATCAACATTGTAGCATCTTGGAGTATATCGAATGATTTGAGTTATTAACAATGACTCTGGGAAGTTGTGATGAGGAGATTCTTATTAGGGCGTTCATGAATAGTCTGAAGCTTGAGATCAGGGCTAAGCCGTGTTCACTCTATTCACACACTCTCTAAATACATGAATATGGCACTCAAGATTGAAGAAAGAAATTGGGTATTAGCCCACTGCCAAGACTCATAGTATCGGGCCAACATCTTATTACTTAGTGGGCCGACGATGACAATTCCGGGACTAGGGTCCTCTCCACCCGTTCTAACTCTCAAACAAATTGTTTGAAACCAACACCCATTTGCAGCTTTGTTTCAACTACAAGTAAGGCAACAGAAACTCAACTTATTGTTAAAATTGTCAATGCTTCTGATGCACTTGTTGTTGGTATTAGGAGTATCGCAGTTTCTGATACACTCACACTCCACGCCATTCTACATGTTATAAACTTAGAATGCAATTTATTATTTGTGAGCCAGTTGGCCAAGGATGAAAGATACCATGCTGACTTCTTTGCTACTTATTGTGTTTTCTAGGACTTGCTAACAGGGACAACGATTGGCTTTGCTAAGGAGTTTGATGGCCTTTACTATCTAAATGATTATGATTATCAAAGTAATAAAGTATCTCTCTCTAGGACTAGTGAGTTATGGCACCAACAGTTAGAACATCCAAATTTCCAACATATGACTCCAATGTTTTCTTCAATTTACTCAAATAAAGATTCTTCTGAATTTCATTGTGATTCTTTTGAATGTGCTAAACAGCGTCGTACATCCTTTTCCAGCATTCCAAGTGTTGCATCCAAACCATTCACAACCATCCCTAGTGATTTGTTGGGGTCTCTCCAGCTCCAAATTACACACACTAAAAATGGTTTATAAGCTTTATTGATGACCACACAAGTGTGAGCTGGGTATTTCTATTAAAGGATAAAACCAATGTTTATCAAACTTTCATTGATTTTCTATCACATGATTCAGACACTATCAAACACAAATTCAAATCCTTCACACGGATAATAAAGCTGAATATTTCAACAACTCCTTATCCACCTTCCTAAAAGATTATGGTATCATGCATAAAAGCATTTGTCCTTACAGCCCACAACAAAATGGTATTGTTAAAAGAAAAAATTGAAACATCCTAGAAACAACTAGAGCCACCATGTTCAGTAGTAATATGCCAAAATTTTATTAGGATGACGCTATCCTCCTAACCACCTTTCTTATTGACAATGCCTAGCAAACAACCGTTATTTAAAACACCCTTGCAAGTTCTCCATAATTTTTAGAATCTTCCCTACCTCGAAAATGGTTGAAAATGGTTGAAAATCGCTTAAGATGGTTTGGACATGTGCAGAGAAGGCCTTTGGAGGCCCCGGTGAGGAGGGTGGATCAAACAAGATGGAGTCCCATAAAAAGAGGCAGGGGAAGACCGAGAAGAACGCTGAATGAGGTCATTGAACGAGACCTCCTAATCAACAACATATCTAAGGATTGGGTTGTTGACAGAGCACGATGGCGTCGTGTGATTCATGTAGTCGACCCCACCTAGTGGGATAAGGCTTGTTGTTTGTTGTTCCCTACCTCGAAAAAACACCACCCTTCGAAGTGTTCAACTATACCACCTATGTTCATCTCCATCATACAAATAAACTTGATCCCAAAGCTGTTAGGTGCATTTTCCCGGGGTACTTGAGCTCCCAGAAGGGGTATAAATGTTATAACCCAGTTGCAAAACGTATCTACGTCATGTCACATTCTATGAAACTGTTCCCTGTTACCTTCAGTCTTCAATTCAGGGGGAGAGTTGGAGTGAATCTCAGACTGAACCATTCTTTGAACATGAGCCTAAACTTGTCCCTGGAACCTTTACTACTCTAGAGGAAGTGCCTAAAGTTGACCAAGGAAAAACTAATCCAACAGGAGACACTAATCAATCTATTCAAATCTATACAAGGAGACACCACTAGAGGCCCTCAGACGATTAATATACTCAAAGAGTTGGGACAAGAGGCAGGCCTAGGAAAAGTAGAAGATGGTGGATAAAAGCAAGTACATGATGACCTTGATTTGCCAACTATAGTATGAAAACAACCCGGATCATGTACCAGACTGCCTATTGAAAGGTTTATCTCTTATTAGGCCCTTTCATCAAAATATTGTGCCTTTGTTTCTCACCTGCACAGGATCAGAATTCCCAACAACATAAATGAAGCTCTAGGTAGTTCATAATAGAGACAGGCTGTTATGGAAGAGATGAAAGCCCTGGAAGCCAATAGCACTTGGCATGTCGTTGATCTGCCTAAGAGAAAGCAACAAGTAAGGTGTAAATGGGTGTTTACCCTAAAGTACAAAGCATATGGGAGCCTTGACATTTACAAGGCAAGATTGGTGGTAAAGGGTTTCTGCCAGGTTCATGGCATAGATTTATATTGAGAGATTCGCACTAGTAGCAAAATTGAACATCATTAAAATCCTTTTGTCCTTAGCAGCAAATCTAGATTGGCCATTACATTAGATGAATAGGGAGTTGAAAGAAAAGGTATACATGAAGCTGCCTCTATGATTCCGAGCAAGAGGGCAAATCAAGTGTTCAAATTAAGCAAGTTACTATACGAGTTGAAGCAGTCTCCCTAAGCATGGTTTGAAAGATTTACACGAGCATTAAAAGCTCAAGGCTATGTACAGGGCAAAGTGATCATATTATGTTTTTCAGACGTCTTAGTGGAAAAATCGTAGTCCTAGCAATATCTGTAGATGATATTTTTCTCACAAAAGATGATCTAGTAGACATTGATCAAAGAAATGAAATATTTCCTCGCAAATCAAAGAAAAGAAATCTGTATATCACAGAGTAAGTTATTCTAGACCTCCTAGAAGAGATAGATATTATGGGTTGCAAGCCTAGCAATTCCCCTATTCAGGTTATATAGCCTTAGGAAGATATCAGTGCATGGTGGGAAAATTAATCTACTTGTCACCCGCTCGACTTGACACTACATTTGCAATGAGTGTCCTAAGTCGACATTCCCATGACCCTAAACAAAATCATCCAAATCACCAGGGCATGGTCTCTTATTCAAAAAGATAGTCAAGAGGAAGATAGAAATGTTTACAAATGCTGATTAGGTACGTGATCAAAATGATAGAAAATCCACATCTGGATACTTCACGTTTGTTTGGGGTAACCTAGTCACATGGCATAATAAGAACCAAAGTGTGGTAGGAAGTAGCAGCGCTGAAGCAGAGTTTAGAGTGATAGCACTCGAGAACTATGAAGGTAATCGGTAAAATGAGTACTCAAGGAGCTCAAGATGATTGTAAATCTACCTATTAAACTCTACTCAGACAACATGGCAGCCATCAATATCTCTCATAACCCTGTTCAATATGATCACATGAAGCATGTTGAGAGAGACAAGCACTTTGTAAGAGAGAAGATTGATGATGGGGTAATTGTTCTCAGATCCATACCATCAA